CAATCCCAGCTCTCTTCAATATCGAAGCTGTCAAAAATCAAGTTCACCAAATGTGTCAATAATTCAACAACCTACTCTTTCCACACCCACCAGTCCCTATCAATGCCAAAATACAATCCGTTTCAGCAATCACATTCTCAACAAGTGGTGATTTCACTTCAGGTTCCTCCACCATTGAAAAAACTTCACTTTCTGAACTTGGAAAGAATTTCAAGAGTTTTGTGAGTTGTTTCATTTTTTTTATTGCATTTTGTTAGGCGGTTAGTGCTGTTGTTGATGTGTAGTGAGAGAGATGAAATTTTTAAGTTTTTTCAGTGAAGATTTTTGTAGTTCAGTTCCATCACTGAACAGCAGACCCAAAAAAGGAAAAGTTTGACAAATAAAATGTTCATGTTTAAACAATTGTTTAAATTTATTACAATAATTGATGGTTGTTTAAAAATTTATTAATTATCTAATATAGAAAGTTGGGATTGAAGACGCCAGGTAAAAGAGATGAACAGTACATGACCGGAGTTATGTCATGATCTCTTTCGAATAGATGATCTTTCCATAGAGAGTGAATATTCTCAACAATTCGTCTAGTTTCTCCATCTTTTTCATTTTCTGGAATAGTTTGCAATCCAATCGAAACACCAAAGTCTCTGAAACCTAATCTTCTTCTAGTACTCTTAATCGTGCTTTCGAATATCTCTTCAATATTAGAAATGGCAACTTTTCTCATATGATTCGCCCAATCTTCATCAGGAAACCAACTGGTCAACCAAAGAGTTTCTCCCAAATCCAGAGGATCCGAACTCTGATACATTAAATACTTTCCCATCACCATTCCCTTCATTTCTTCAATTTCTCTATTCAAAACACTTCCATCCACATTCTTTCCTTCTTTTAATTGCTGGTTGACCAATTGTAAAAGTCTATAAGTAACATAACCATCATACGGATCCAAATTTCCTTCAGATCTCACAACTGGTCTCGAGCCATCAATGGAAATCTTCCAGAACATCCTCAATCCACGTGAAGAACTATGATTGATAAACTTGTTATGCATGGATTGAGCCATTTCAATTGCCCATTCATTGTATTTCACATCTCGAGTGATTAGTGACGTTCTGTTGAGGGCAAACATCCATTTGGTGAGATAGTGAAAGTATTGACCA